TAAATAAAGTATAATCTTTGCTCTTTCATTAACTTTGTAACGAACTGCTACAGTGAAGTAATATTCTACTTGGACACCGTTGAGAGCTCCTCTTCCGTGTCTTATGTTACTTGTGTTAAATTAAGAAGGCTAACACTTGTAACAATACCTTAAAAATAAGATTAGCTTGATGCAAAGGCTGTAGTCTAGATAGCAAGAATGACTCTGAATACATTATTACAAAAAGCATAAGTAAACAGTATATAAACTTAAGTAGAGTATACAAAAAAGAAGAAGATATAGCAAAGCTGAGATCCCTATTATTATCATATATAAGGTGCTCTACAAATAGTATAACAGAGCTAAATAACATACAAAATAATGTTTGAGTAGAGATAGCAAATATAGAAAAAGTGATAATATAAAGAGCAATAAAGGAGAAGAGTATTCAAACAGAACTTATAGCTATCATAAGAAAATTTAAAAGAAGTAAGAATTGAATATATATACAGATAGTTTACTTGTAAATAGAGAAGCAGAGAGTATGAAGAGAGGCAAAATAGGAATAGAGTGAATATTAGCTTGTGAAAATGCAAATATAATAGACAATATTAGTTTTAGTAGTAGTTTAGTAAACTGCCTCTCCTCAATTCATGTGGAACTTAGTGCAATCTAAATAACAACTCTAGCAACTTCTTGTAATACTAACTTAAACATCTTCTCAGATAGTAAGATAACAATAGAAGGTCTTCAAAAAAAAAGACTAGCTAAAAATATAAAAAAAATCTTCAAGTCTAAAAATTGTAGTCTAATACGTTAAATTCAGAATTGCTGTAAGGCTAAGAGCATAAGTCTTAACTATATCAAAGTTAAAGAGTATAGCAATAATTTATAAAATGATAAAGCAGATGTTCTGGCAAAAAATAGCTTAAACTCAAATAGTTCTATTATAGTTAAAGATATAAATTCAGACAATTTAAGAGTATTACTGAAATAGAAAGACAAATTTATTGATTGCTTAATCAGATTCTTCATGAATATTATAATAGCAGTAGTATATGAAATGGAATAAGTAGATTTAAGTAGCTCAAAAGATATAATCAATATTAGATCTAAGGATAGCATGGCTAAAGATATAAATTGGAAAGGTATATGGAGTATGCTCAATAATTATCAAAACAAAAGATGCACAAGCTTTAAAAAAAGTAAAGCTCTTATATTTAGAATAAAATGCCTGAATAAGCTACTGCTAACATGTAATATTTACTTCTAACAAAGACCTGACCTATATAGAGATGAAACCTGTATAGCATGCTATGTAACTAAAGAAATATTTAGCTATCTTGCAGAATATGTAGTATATCAAAGAATATGAGAATATATAGAAGAAACAATTATAGAGGAAATGAAACAAAAAATTTTAGAGAAATAGAATATCTTAATACCATATTAAGAGCTAGATAGGATTTTCTTTGCATTAGAACTAGAAGATAAACTCTAAAGAAGAAAACTATACTTCTGAGGATTAACTTATAAAAAGCAGATCAAAGAAGTTAAAGAATTAGTAGAGTCAAGCTCTAAAGCAAATTGAATTATCCCTTCGTATGTTATGCAGGCAAATTTGCCTGCAAAAATAAGTTTTTGGTTCATAATAAAAAATTTATATTAAATAAACCCCTGCAAAAGTTATTTATGTGATTTTTCTAGTTTTGTATTACACTTAAAATAAAGTGCTAATTGTATAAATGCGTCTCTGGTGATTATGCACCAATCAAAAATTGCAATTGTTTGATTATAATATTGAAGATCTATTGTATCAAAGATGTTCATACGTATCAAAGCTTGCTTGCTTTTTTTTTTTTTCTTTTTTTTTTTTTTTTGCGTCTTTATTAACCAAAGATGAAGAAAATATTTCTATATTCAAAAAAAAATTTTTAAACTTGTCTCAAATCTTTGATTACTAAATTATGAATAATAGAAATTTTATTGTAATGGTAATACATAATAATTGTTCACTCTGGTTAACTCAAGTTTTTATAGGTTTGTTTTTTTTATTATTTGCCTTATTGAATAGTTTAATTGTTACCTTATTAATAATTTAATTATTTGATTAAAAGGTCTTAAATGAATTACTAAAAAAAAAAAAAAGTCATAAGATCATTTTTTTTTTAAAAAAAAGTCGTAAATCAATTTTTTTTTTTAAAAAAAAAAAAAAAAGATTTTTTTTTTAAAAAAAATTGTATTTTCTAAGTTGTATCAAATGCAATCTGTAAGTTTATTTTTATTATTATTCGAGATTTAATTTAATACTTGTTTTAATTTTTTTTAATTTTTCAGATTTCAATACAAGAAAATATTAAGGACCTACCTGATGAATTATCTGATAAATATGTTGTTTCATTTTTATCAAGAAATCTTGCAGCTGATGAATTTTTGGAAGATTTTTATGAAGCTGAAGATTCTGTAAATATTAATGATATATGTACAGAGTTAGAACAAACAGTAATTAGCGAAGGAAGCAAAAAAAAAAGTACTAGAGGAAAAAATCAAAATAAAGGAGAAAAAGATAGTTTATGTTCCAGAAAAAAAGCTACAATTTCTGCGCAATTACCTAAACCACCTAGTTTTAATACTTTAGTTCACAATATGCCTTATCATAAAGGCTATGTAATGTTACCAAAAATTTATTCAGGCTGTGATATTTCTCTATATAGATTAATTTGTCTTTTTTTTCACAAAGTATTCTTACAACTATTGTATTAAATACAAATGAATATGCACAAACAAAAAATGCTAATACAATAGGACAAGTTTGGATATCACTAACATTAGATAAACTAAAGATTTGGTTAGGAATTGTTATCTATATAGGCGTAATTAAATTACCAAGAGTAACTGATTATTGGACTATTGATTCTAAGTTTCCTAAACATAATATTACACAAGAAATGTCTGTAATTCGTTTTCAACAAATTAAGCGATACTTACATATTTCAAATCCTAATTCTGAAAAATCTTATTGGTATAGTAAAGTTGAACTGCTTGCTTCCCATATTAGAAATATTAGTAAGCAACTTTATGTACTTGGGTCACAAGTATCAATTGACGAAATGATGATACATTTTTCAGGTCGAAGTAGTCATACTTTTCGTATAAAAAATAAACCTATTCCTGAAAGATATAAGGTTATGTCTTTATGTGAAAAAGGATATACTTACACATTTACTTTTGAATCATATATTGTAAATAATAGTGAAATTACAATTATTCCTGGTCTTAATAAAACAGGATCGCTTGTATCATATCTTGTTACTTAATTACCAAAAGGACATGCATATAATATATATATGGATAACTATTTTACAAACATTCCACTTTTTGATTATTTAAGAACAAAAGGTTATGGAGCTTGTGGTACAGTACGAACAAATTCTTCAATGTTTCCTAAAATATTAAAATTCGAAAAATCTATTCATTTGAATTGGAATATTTTATCTAGTGTTGTTGTAAATAATGTTTTAGTAATATTATGAGTAGATAATGGTCCAGTCTATATGCTTTCTACTATTCATGGTATTAAGGGTGATGAATGGAAAATCTCTACAATATGTCAAAAGCTACGATCAACTAGTACAAATGCTGCAAATATGTGAAAAATTTTTGGTGAAGCATCTCAAAAAGAAATCTTAATTCCAAAAATTATTAATGACTATAATCATTATATGGGTAGTATTGATACAGCAGATCAATTTAGATCATATTATAATTGTCAAATTACTTCTTTACGCAACTGGTTACCACTTATGTTTTGGTTAATTGATACAGCAATTGTAAACTCATATATTATTTATAAACAAAAAGGTAATTTAATTTAAATACTCTATCGCTATTAAATTATTTATTTAAATTTAAAATTAATTACTTTTATTAACAACTAATAAATTTATAGGTAGAACTTTAAATCATGAAAAATTTCGCTTGCAAATAGCATGGGATTTTATTGATAATGTATTAAGTGAAAGACAAAAGCTTAAAAATAAGCAAAGCTCTAAAATAAAATTATATAAAAACTTAGCTCCAATTATTAACAAAAACTTCAAATTATCACCAACTTGATTTTCTGGTATAAATCATTATTCTGAATAGCGAGAAAATCGTGCTGCATATACTTGGTACCGCTGGGAAGCTAAAATTGGTAATATTCAAATAAATGAAAAAAAACCACCACAAAGTCAAATTTGGTGTGCTCAATGTAATGTTGCACTTTGTTATAACAAATCTCATTCTTTATATTTTAAAGAATATCATACATATATTGATAAAGAATAGGATATAAAAAACTAAATTTTAAATTTTATTTTTTAAAATTTTTAAAAAAATAATGTTTTTATTATATTTGATAAATATTAAATAAATTTTTTTATTTTATTATAAATTTAATATTATATGTATTTTGAAACTTAAAAACAATTTTTTAAATAATTTTTAAAACTGTATATAATTAAAAAATTTAAAATATTAAAATTTTTTATTTTTTTTTATTTTTTTATTATAAATTAACTAATTTTAAACTTATATCATTAATTAAAAATATAAATAAATTTAAAAAAATTTTAATTTAAAAAAGATATTAAATCTAAATTAACAAATTTTATTAATTAATTAAAATAAAATTACATAATAATAAAAAATTTAGTAATATTATAACTTTTTGCAGGCAAATTTGCCTGCAAATTCTTAACAAACGAAAGGATAAGCTAGTTCATAGACTCTTTCTGGTTAAACTTTTATAAAAAACTCTAGAAATTTTACTGTGAAGTTATAGTCAATTAAGAAAAAGAAAAAAGTATCAGCCAAAAGAAAAAAAAAGAAAAAAGGAAAAAGTAAAGCAATAATCAAGTAGCAGATAAAAAAAACAATATAGGTCTAATTATAGAGAAAAAAAAGTTACAACTTGACAAAGAAAAAAGGATCTTAAAAGAAACAAGAAACAAGGTTACAAATTGGATCAGAAAAGAAGAATATAAAAAATAGTTGAAGTTCAAAAATAAGTAAATAGGTATTCTTAATTTAGACTAGAAGTAGCCTTCTTTTGATCAAAACAAAAAAGATATATATTAGTATATATTCTGCTTTAGGAGGAAAATTTGCTACTGTAGCAGATCATATTTGAGTACCAAACAGGTATCTAAGTGAGTCTGAAGTTGTAAAAAGAGAGCAGTCTTAAAATAGTTTTAATTTTTTTGTATTTGTCTTATTACTAGTTTAATAATTCTTTTAATAAAATAAAGAGCAAGATCATTTAAGTTTAAAAAAAAAAAATATTACTTCTACAAAGTTCTTCTGTTCAGCCTAAATTAATTACTATAAATTTTTGAAAATTAATAAAAACAATAGTAAGAAGTTAGAAAGTTTAAAAAATCTTTTATAAAAATTATTTAGATAATATTTGAGTAATATATCTATCAAAAGAGATATTATTAAAGCAGTGAAAAAAGATAATAGAAATAAATTTAGAAGATTGTAATTAAATTTATACAGAAAAAAAAAGTAGCAAGAAGCTAATACAGAAGTCTAAGTTTTATAATCTAATTATCAATCTACTGAAAAGTTTAATAATTATTCTAGAAGAAAAGATTGTTATTATAATAAGTTAATTAGAAGGATTATTAGAAAAACTAGTAGTTTTAATAAGAGAATTGGAGGCACTTAATCCATAGATCTTTTGTACCAAATATTCCCAAAAAATTTTTTCAATAAAACCAAATTTTCTCAAAATTTTATTAATTAAACCAAGCAAGTGCTCTTAAGTAAACTTGCTCTACA